TTCTATAGGTCTTCTTCTCATAGAAGAGAGCTATAGGTCTTCTTCTCATAGAAGAGAGCTATAGGTCTTCTTCTCATAGAAGAGAGCTATAGGTCTTCTTCTCCTTAGACCTTATAGACCTTATAGGAAGAGCTATAGGTCTTCTTCTCACAGAAGAGAGCTATAGGTCTTCTTCTCATAGAAGAGAGCTTCAGGTCTTCTTCTCATAGCAGAGAGCTTCAGGTCTTCTTCTCATAGAAGAGAGCTATAGGTCTTCTTCTCATAGAAGAGAGCTATAGGTCTTCTTCTCATAGAAGAGAGCTATAGGTCTTCTTCTCATAGAAGAGAGCTATAGGTCTTCTTCTCATAGAAGAGAGCTATAAGTCTTCTTCTCATAGAAGAGAGCTATAAGTCTTCTTCTCATAGAAGAGAGCTATAGGTCTTCTTCTCCTTAGACCTTATAGACCTTATAGGAAGAGCTATAGGTCTTCTTCTCATAGAAGAGCTATAGGTCTTCTTCTCATAGAAAAGATATAGGTCTTCTTCTCATAGAAGAGCCATAGGTCTTCTTCTCATTGAAGAGCTATAGGTCTTCTTCTCATAGAAGCGCTATAGGTCTTCTTCTCATAGCAGAGCTATAGGTCTTCTTCTCATAGCAGAGCTATAGGTCCTCTTCTCATAGCAGAGCTATAGGTCTTCTTCTCATTGAAGAGCTATAGGTCTTATTCTCATAGAAGAGAGCTATAGGTCTTCTTCTCACAGAAGAGAGCTATAAGTCTTCTTCTCACAGAAGAGAGCTATAGGTCTTCTTCTCACAGAAGAGAGCTATAGGTCTTCTTCTCACAGAAGAGAGCTATAGATCTTCTCCTCATAGAAGAGAGCTTTAGGTTTTCTTCTCATAGAAGAGAGCTATAGGTCTTCTTCTCACAGAAGAGAGCTATAGGTCTTCTTCTCATAGAAGAGAGCTTTAGGTCTTCTTTTCATAGAAGAGAGATATAGGTCTTCTTCTCATTGAAGAGCTATAGGTCTTCTTCTCATAGAAGAGAGCTTCTCATAAAAGACCTTCACGTCTTCTCATAGAAGACCTTCACGTCTTCTCATTGAAGACCTTCATGCCTTCTCATAGAAGTTCCTGATGTTTCTTCATTGAAGACCTTCATGTCTTCTCATGGATGTCAAAATTGTCCGTTTTCCAACAGTTTAGTTACACATCAGTCGAGTCATCTGTGAAATGTGATTGACATGAAAGAAGTTCAACAACTTGTCAGTCGGTCGATATTTAATGCTGCCATTATCCTTTGAGTTACTTCATTACAAGGACAACAAACTGTGGCATCATCAGCAGCAGCCGGATGCACTGAGTTATGAGTCTGTGATTCTCTCTATTCTTGGAATAGCTTTTTCTATTCTTGGAATAGCTTTTTCTTCTTCTTGTTCTTCGAACAAAAGGCCTTAATCTGCAGTGAAAACATTTTGCTTCGGATATTCTTTTTTTGCGAAGAAAAAAAGTTCCGTTCTGCTACAGCAGTCAGACAACTACCCCGTGCCCACCAATTTTTCCCAACATCGGAATGCTCTTTAAACAATTCATTCAAAATTTGTTTCCATGCAATGTTGGAGGTTGATGGGTTTGTTGGGTGCATCATCGTCAAGCCACGCAGAGTCATAAACCATAAGGTCCTCCTGGGACATGACACGTTTTCCAGAGGTTGTAACAAAAAACAAACAAACAAAAAGGAAATGAGAGCACTATAGTGCTGTTCTGGCTGTAAACTGTTTTGGGGGGGAGCATATGTGAGGGAGGGTGTAAGATGACATGAGACATCCTTGCTGCAGGATTTTGCAAAAACCAGTAAAGCCAGTAGGATATTTTACACCTCCTTCTCCTTGGCCCCTCATTCCAAATCCTTAGAAGTACAGACACAGACATTCGGAGTTTTCAAAGTTTGTGGCTGAGGCTTGACTGCAATGCGTTTTGTTCCACTCCTTCATTGCAGTTTACCGAAGGCCTACAGCTATCTAGCCCAATATTCTTCGCAGCCTTTAAAGAGTCGTTTCGAAACTTTGCCTTTAATAATTAGTTTCGTGTTGTGGCTTAAACAACTGTGTGGATTTGTTGTCCTCATCCTCTGCCTTGCCTCATTTTTCGCAGTGCCGCTTTTCACGGTTGCAAAATGAATTAAAAAAGTATCTAGTTCGTTTTTGTTCCATGCCATTCTCTTAAAACTTTAGGTTATTTCATTAAACCCCAAATGGTGAGCAGCAGAGCAGAGCACAGTACATAAATTACATTAATTAAAAATTCTATTACGAAATTGCTTCCGCAGTCATCTTACGGAGCAAAGATGAAAGGAGAGGCTAGTCTTCTAACGAATTTGAAAATGTTTAAGTTTCTAATATTTTCTAATTTTTCATGGATTTCTTCTTCGGCCGTTTTTCGAGTTAATGCCTGAAAGCAACATAAAACTTCACTTTAGATAAAAAGTGTCACTGGAGGAAATACTCTCCGTCAAATTTCATTATAAGTCTCAGAATAAACCATATGGCTAGGTATAATAGTTTTTAAGAAAATTACATTTGGAAATTATATATTACAAGTAAAAATTATGTGTTTAAGTTTTCTATTGCAAATTTAACACCTTTCAATTCTAAGTCAAAATCTGCCATAATGCTTAATTTTTTGGAAAGAGTGTCAAAGGAACAAATGTTCTCCATCAAATGTCAGTCAAAGTCACCGAAGAAAATAAATCTCTATTTTCATTATATATCAAGAAAATATTTCATTACATTTTGACAAAAAAATAGAAAAATTTTTCTAATTTTTCATGGATTTTTTCTTTGGCCGTTTTTTGAGTTAATGCCTGCAAGCAACATAAAACTTCACTTTAGACAAAAAGTGTCAACGGAGGAAATATTCTGCACCCAATTTCACCATAAGTCTCAGAATAAATTATATATCTAGGAGTAATAAATTTCAGGAAAATTACATTCGAAGTTTTTATTATCACAAGTAAAAATTATGTGTTTACGTTTTCTACTGCAAATTTAACACGTTGCAATTCTAAGTTAAAATCGTCTATAATACCTAATATTTTGGGAAGAGTGTCAATGGAAGAAATGTTCTCCATTAAATTTCAGTCAAAACCACCAAAGAAAAAAATCTCTATATTCACTACATATCTAGTAAATATTTCATTAAATTTTGCCAAAAAATGCAAAAATATTTCCTATTTTTTCATGGATTTTTTTCTTCGGCCGTTTTTCGAGGTTAGGCATGAAAGTAACATAAAACTTCACTTTAGACAAAAAGTGTCAACGAAGGAAATATTCTACACCATATTTCATTATAAGTCTCAGAATAAACCATATAGCTAGGTATAATAGTTTTTAAGAAAATTACATTTGGAAATGATGTATTGCAAGTGAAAAATTTTTTTATGTGTTTTCGTTTTCTACTGCAAATTTAGCACGTTTCAATTCTAAGTCAAAATCTCCAATAGTAGTGAATTTTTCGGGAAGAATGCCAAAGGAAGAAATATTCTCCATTAAATTTCACTGTAAGTCACCGAAGAAAATAAATCTCTATCTCCATTATATATCATCAAAATTGTTGTTTTAATTTTGCCAAAAAAGACCAAGTACTCCTACATATTTCTCTGGATTTTTCTTCGCTCGTTTTTCGAGTAAATGCCTGAAAGTAGCATAAAACTTCACCTAAGACAAGGAGTGTCAATGGAGGAAATATTCTACACCACATTGCTCGTTACCGTGATACTGGTAGCGTAGCCCGACGTCAAGGAAGTGGACGGAAGAAAACAACATCAGCAGAAATGGTTCGAAAAGTAATGAAGCGACTTGATCGAAACCCGCGACACATTGGCCGAAAGATGAGCTGAAAATATCACAATATTCCATTCGGCAAATATAGAAAAATGAGCTCGAGGTAAAGCCATTGAAATTCCAAAAAGTTCAAGAACTTAGAAAGAAAATAGTCTCAAAAAACTAAATAGTAGCTTCGCTTGGCCGAAAGTGGTGAACTGCCGACTTTGGTTTTCTCCGATGAGAAAATATTCGTTGGTCAGCAGTTTGTAAACAAACAAAATTAACAAAATTATCAGCTGACCAAAGAGGTCAGCTGCAAATGTGCACCTTCGGTTGGCCTCTAGAACTCAAGTGCCGGCCATGGTGATGGTGTGGGCAGCCATAACAGACGATGGTCGCTCTACGCTCGTATTAATCGACCGTGGCATCAGAATAAATGCCGAATTATATGACGAAAATATTCTGGAGGGTTTATTAAAGCCTTGGACACGCACATAATTTAGCGGTAGATCTTGAACATTCCAACAGGACTCAGCACAATCGCACTCAGCACGCGCCACCCAAGAATGCTTACAAAATGATGATCCTCGCTTCATTTCCAGCGCACAATGGCCACCAAAATCTCAGGATACCAATCCGTTGGAGTATTGTGTATGGAGTATTTTGAAAAGCAAGGTTGGTACTAAAAAATACCAAAGTATCGATCACTTCAAGTAAGTAAGAATGGGCCAAAATACCGTGGAGTACCATTCGGGCAGTGTGTGACGGTTTCATTGGCCGTTTGAAGGCCATCATTCATGCCAAAGGTAACCAATTCGAACAAATATAAAGTTATTCTAAAATTCGATGCTATTTCCGACATTTTTTGCTTTCATGCAATAAAATTTAAAAAAAAAATTGTAAAAATTATGACGTTTGACTTTGTTGCAGTTTTTCCATCTCACCCTGTATATTCTTCATTTTGTCGAATCATAGCTTTTTTAATTTTTTTTTGTCTCCAGTTGTCTGGTTAAGAACCTTCTCCGTAATTCCTCATGGAGTAGCTCTCTCACTCTACTTCTTTCTCACTCCCACATTTTTTAAAGGCCAGTAGCAGTTGTTCTTATCGAACGGGTGATAATATTATCAAAAGTATTTTAGGCAAGCGTAGACATGATTAAACGAGTTTTTTTGTTTTTTTAAAAACGCAACAAATTATCAATACCACCAAAAAATAACTGCAGTTCTATTCGAATCGCCATGTCGCAAGCTGTTAGGCCACTGAGTCCGAAATTGCAAAAAATTGCAATTGAGGAGCTAAACGAAGACCCCCTAAAAATACCTGGATTTTTATACGACTTTAAAAATTGGATTAAAGAACAGAAATATCTTCATGTCCGACACGATGATGATCAGTTTCTGATACAATTTCTAAGAGCTAGCCGCTATGATCTGCAAGAAGCTGAAAAGAAGTTGGATTATTTCCATGCATTTCGTACCCGGTATCCGGAGTTTTTCGAGACCAATGTTGATAGTCCCAAAGTTAGGGCCACACATGAGTTGGGGTGAGTTCATTGAGGTTTTGCGAAATTCTGAACTTCGTATATTATCGTTAGTTTCGTTTGAAGTGTCACGGTACCCTTGCCCACACCCCTAAATGATTGCGGCAGCCGCATTGTGGTCTATCGTTACACCTATGATCCAAATAGATGGCGCATGGAAGATTTGGCCCCCGTGTGCACTGCCATGCATGAACTGATGATCCTCAACGATCCATATGCCTGCATTTGTGGTCTCACCTATATTTTGGATATGTCACAGGCCAACATGCAACACATCCTGCAGTATACTCCGTCTATGGTGAAAAAAATTGCGCTGTTCTATGAAAAATGGATGCCGCTCAATATGAAGGGATTCTACTTTATAAATGTCCATCCGGGGGTGGAACTAGTTGCCACGCTATTTATGAATGCCCTGTCCAAGGAATTGCAAGAAAAGGTGAGTCATCCTTAGCGAAGTTGGTGCAAAAAAAGGGTATTTAAGGGAGAGAGTTGTTTTGCTTTTCTAGGTTTTTATTTGCGGTAAGGATCTCAGCAAAATCGCCGATCGAATACCTTTGAAATATCTGCCAAAGGAATATGGAGGAGAAAATGGCTCCTTGACTTCGATTGTTCAGGATTATCACAACATATGGAATGAGAACCGTGAATATTTTAGGGAGAATCGTAAATATGGTACCGATGAAGCTTTGAGACCTGGTGGGAAATTACTGGATTTCGATGGCCAACTGAAGGAGGAGTTTTCACTGAAGGATACTCAATTTGATTAGCAAAACCACTGGGTTTTTGATGAATTAATAAATGACTTAATATAATAATGACTTAAAAGATCCGTGATATGAGACACCCCACCTTCCAGTATATTCAGGCAGAAACAGCTATAAGTGTTTTTTTCGGCGGTCATCTTCTCGTGGCTTCATGGACCGTCTATGGAAGTTCATTAAGGGTCGTCTATAGAAGTCATTTAGGGGCAGTCTATAGAAGTCCTTTAAGAACCGTTTATAGAAGGCTTTTAAGGGTCGCCATAGAAGACCTTTAAGGGCCGTCTATAGAAGGTCTTTAGGGGCCCGCTATAGAAGGCCTTTAAGGCCCGTCTATAGAAGGCCTTTACGGACCGTCTATAAAGACCTATAGAAGGCATTTAGGGGCCATCTTGAGAAGGCCCTTAGGGGCCGCCTATAGAAGTCCTTTAAGATCCGTATATAGAAGTGATTTAAGGGCCGTCTATAGACGGCCGTTAAGGTTCGGCTGTAGAAGGCCTTTAAGGGCCGTCTATAGAAAGCATTTAAGGTCTATCTTTAGAAGGGGCCGTCAATAGAAGGCCTGTTAAGGGCCGCTACAGAAGGCCTTTAAGGGTCGTCTATAGAAGGCCGTTAAGGTCCGGCTATAGAAGGCCGTTAAGGTCCGGCTATAGAAGGCCTTCAAGGGCCGTCTATAGAAGGCATTTAGGGGCCGTCCATAGAAGGCATTTTGGGACCGTCTACTGAAGGCTTTTAGTGGCCGTCCATAGAAGACATTTTGGGACCGTCTATAGAAGGCCTTTAGGGGCCGTCTATAGAAGGCCTTTAGGGCCCGTCTATAGAAGGCCTTTAGGGGTCGTCTATTAAAGGCCTTCCGCATCCGCTTTAAAGGTCTTTAAGGCCTTCGTCCGTTAAAGGCCGCTTATATAGGGCTTTATGGGCGGCGTATAAAAGATATCGTCTAGAAGATAAGAAGAAGATGAATCCTTCAGTTTCAGATCTACTGTGCAATGCAAATGTATCAGCTGAGTTTAGATTTGAAAAATATTTGTATTTTTTGAAAACCGGTTTTGGAGACCATTCCGTATGCAACTTTGGTTCTGTTTTCAAAACAAATTTCACAATTTATTACCCCAAGTCTAACCGGTCCCAATTGTATGTCCGCAATTTATCTAAGTTGCTACAGACTAAGTTTAACAAAACGTCAGGTTGGCCAAACGTCGTTCATATACATTCAAGCCATTCCAGGGGAAATGTCAAACATAAATTCTAACCTGAGCTCCGATTTGCAACAGATTGCCATCGAAGAAGTTGGAGAGGGCCTGTCAAATCTTCCAGATACCTTGGAGGAACCCAAATGTTGGCTGGTAACAAAGCAAAGCCATTTTTGTTGTCGTTTGGATCAGGCATATCTTTTGCAATTTCTCAGAGGTTGTAACTACGATTTGGAAAAGGTGAAACGAAAACTTCAACATTTCTACACCTTTAAGACCCTTTGTCCGGATGTTTTTGGCACCGTGAATGTGAATGACAAGAAGTTTCGGCAAATGCATGATATTGGGTAAGTTTTGGTGTAGTGGAGTGAAATCCCGATCTTAAAATTGTTTTGTTTTATTTTTTTTTTTTTTTTTTTGACCTTCAGCTGCATCGGTGTTTTACCCAAACCCCTGAATGAGTATGGTCCCCGCATTGTGGTCTACCGGTATTTGTATTCCCCAGAGAAATATGGCATGGTGGAGTTATTGGCAGTTTGTCTGGCCACACTGGAAACCCTGATCGTCAGTGATCCCCAGACTTGTGTCTGTGGTCTAGTCTCCATTTTCGATATGTCTGACATAACCATGGATCACATTCTTGCGTACACGCCGGAGGTCTTGAAAAAGCTGACCATTTTGTATGAAAAAGTCATACCCTTCGATATAAAAGGTTTCTATTTCATGAATGTTCCGGACTTTGCGGATAATTTTTTTAATCTCTACTTGCCGTCTTTGTCGGCAGAGCATAGGGAAAGGGTGAGTCGCTGAGCGTGGTGATTGCAAGTTTTTAGTAATTTCCTTCCCTTTCTAGGTTTTCGTTTGCGGTCAAAATATCAAACATATAACTGATAAAATTCCCCGCAAGTATTTACCCAAGGAATATGGGGGTGAAAATGGCTGCCTGCAGGATTTGGTGAAGGAATTCCATACGGTTTGGGACAAACACAGCGAATATTTTCGGGAAAATCAAAAATATGGACTCAAAATGGATTTGAGCGGTACTGATGGACCCGTTCATTTTGAAAAGCTAGATGATTATTTTAAATAAATTTATTTGAATATAGATTTTTAATATTCTGGAAGCCACCTATAAATTTCGAATGTAATTTTTTTAATATCTATTACACCTAGATGAACGGTTTACTCTGAGACTTGTAGTGAAATTTGATGGAGAGTATTTTCTCCCTTGACACTTTTTGTCTAAAGTGAAGTCTTGTGTTGCTTTCAGGCATTAACTCGACATGTCTGGCATGCATCTGTAGGTTGAAGCCTTTTTATAGCCTCCACGATAGTAAGGAGGGTATATTAAGTTTGTCATTCCGTTTGTAACACCTCGAAATATACATTTCAGACCCCACAAACTACATATATTCTTGATCAGCATTAAATTCTATGCCGATTTAGCGATGTCCGTCCGTCTGTCCGCCTATCCGTCTTGGAAGTCACTCTAGCTTTCGAACGAAATGAAGCAGATAGATTAAATTTTACTCAAATATATATTATGTCTGAAGGACTTTTGGTATTGAAAAAAGGCCATGTAGGTCCACGTTTCGGTATAGTCCCCATGTAACGGTACCTCCCGATATTCGGTATTCTGATGATTTTAGCGACATTATTCACCGGAATTGTTTCAAATTTGGTATTTGATGTTCGTAATGGATGCTACAGCCTAAGACGGAAAATTGTCTTTGCAGGTCCACGTCTTCGTATAGCCCCCATATAACGGTACCTCCCGATATTCGTTATTTTTATGATTTCAGCGACATTATTCACCGAAATTGTTTCAAATATGGTATTTGAAGTTCGTAAAGGATGCTACAGCCTAAGACAGAAAATTGTCGGGCAGGTCCACATCTTCCTATAGTCCCCATATAACGGTATCACCCGATAATCGGTATTCTGATGATTTTAGCGACATTATTCATCGGAATTGTTTCAAATTTGGTATTTGAAGTTCGTAATGGATACTACAGCCTAAGACTGAAAATTGTCTGTGCAGGTCCACGTCTTCGTATAGCCCCATATAACGATACCTCCAGATATTCGGTATTCCGATGATTTTAGCGATATTATTAACCGGAATTGTTTCATATATGGCATTTCAAGTTCGTAAGGGATGCTACAACCTATTGCAGAAAATTGTCTGTGCAGGTCCACGTCTTCGTTTAGCCCCCATATAACGGTACCTCCCGATATTCGGTATTCTGATGATTTTAGAGGCATTATTCACCGGAATTGTTTCAAATTCGGTATTTTATGTTCGTAATAGATGCTACAGCCTAAGACAGAAAATTGTATGTACAGGTCCACGTCTTCGCACAGCTCCCATATAACGGTACCTCCCCATATTCGGTATTTTGATGATTTTAGCGACATTATTCACCGGAATTGTTGGTATTTGAAGTTCGTAATGGATACTACAGCCTAAGACAGAAAATTCTCTGTACAGGTCCCATCTTCGTATAGCCCGCATATAACGTACCTCCAAATATTCGGTATGCTTTTACCTACAGTATTCACCGATTTTTTTAAGTTTCGCATTTGAATATTGTAAAGGCTTATGACAAAAGTTGCCTATGCAGGTCAGCGTCGTCGTATAGACCCTAATATAACAGCTACATTCGGTATTTTTAAGATTTTAACAGAATTTTTAACGGATTTTATTTTTTTTGAGAGTTGCCAAATTCGTTCCAAATTCGGTCCGACCGAACTTACAGCTTTTTTTTTTGTTTTATTTAATAGAAATAAAGCTCCAGCTATTAACATATCTTACCAGTCTTCACAAATTTTGCAGAATTGTATAGTGAGAGCTTACCCGAAAGAGAGAGAGAGGAGGGAGTTATTATAACGACAATTTTAACAAAAGTTTATCAATTCAACCAAAAAAAAAAAAACAATAAATTCAATATTCAAGTGTGTCTGCTGTGTAAAACAACACACAATAAAATAAACAGAGGCGTACGCAGAATTGAATTTTGAAACCCACTGGAGGGGCAAGGGAGTGGGTTTGCTACAACCCACCAATGTAACCAAAAAAGACCTAACCGACCAAAAACTCGCATTTTGAATCTAAAAGTTGTAAAGATAATTTAAAAAATACCATTTCGGAGGAGGCCCGGCCTCTAGCAACACCTCCCCACCCCCCCCCCCCCCCCAAAACTGAATACGGCGGTGCTCGCACCACAAAAAGCTCCATTTTCCTTGTAAAAAATACAAAAACTGGACGAAATGTAACAATTTTTAAAGAAGTCCTGGGTCCAAAGGGCCCCTCCCGAAACACGGCCCTGAAAATTGGGATATTTTCAGATTATAGATTATATATTTTTAAATAAATATATTGCATACTTCACACAGCATTGCTTTGCGTTTCCAGACCCACATACAGTCGAAGGCTACAAATCGAATCGCAAAGATGTCACAGATCCAGCCATTAAGCGAGGAGCTACAAATCATTACCATCGATGAGTTGAACGAAAATCCCTTAGAAATCAATAGCAAATTAAATGCTTTCCGGGCATGGATAGTGGGACAGCCTCATCTAAGGGCCCGTATTGATGATCAATTTTTGCTACAATTTTTACGTAGCACTGAATACGATTTAACGGCGGCTGGGAAGAAATTGGATAATTTTTTTGCCTTCAAAACCGTGGTGACAAATCAACTGGAATTTGGAAGGGCGAAATTTTGGGAGCTGTATTATTTGGGGTAAATTTTTCAGACACTCATAATTTCAATACTTTTTTTTAACAATTAATATTCCCGTTCTCCCTAGGATCATTGCCGTTCTACCCACACCATTGAATGACAATGGACCGCGTTTGATCTACTATCGTTATCTATATTCTCCCGATCTATATCGCATTGAAGAACTCATTGAAATGTGTAACATGGTCAATGAATCGTTGATTAAGTCGGATCCATATGCCGGCATTTCTGGTGTTGTATATATTTTCGACATGTCCACAGTATCGCTGAAACACATCCTGCAGTATAGCCTGAGTGTGGTCAAGCAATTGGTCATGTTCTATGAGAAATCCTTGCCACTGCGCATCAAAGAGATTTGCTTTACAAATGTCCCCTTGGCGGCGGAACATTTATTTAAATTATTGTTGCCGTGCCTCTCCAAAGAGTTGAGGCAGAGGGTGAGTAAATTTCGAAGCTTAGTTGCGATTTGCCTTCGGTTTTACTCGCGAGTGGGAGTACTCGAAGATTATGAGAGGATTACTCTTCCACACGAAGAGTTAGAAGGTAACAAGAGTATTATACCCTCCATCATAGTATGGAGGGTATATTAAGTTTGTCATTCCGTTTGTAACACCTCGAAATATAAATTTTAGACCCCACAATGAATATATATTCTTGATCAGCATAAAATTCTATTTCGATTTAGAGATGTCGGTCCGTATGTCCGCCTATCCGTCTGTGGAATTCACTCTAGCTTCCCAACGAAATGAAGTAGAATGATAAAATTTTACTCAAATGTATATTATGTCTACAGGACTTTTGGTATTGAAAATGGGCAATGAAGGTCCACGTTTCGGTATAGCCCCCATAGAACTGTACCTCCCCATATTCGGTATTTAGATGATTTTAGCGACATTATTCGCCGGAATTGTTTCAAATTTGGCATTTGAAGTTCGAAATGGATACTACAGCCTAAGAGAGAAAATTGTCCGTGCAAGTCCACGTTTTTGTATAGCCCCCATATAGTGGTACCTCCCGATATTCGGAATTTTAATGTTTTTAGCGACATTATTTATTGGAATTGTTTCAAATTTGGTGTTTGAAGTTCGAAATGGATGCTACAGCCTAAGACGGAAAATTGTCTTTGCAGGTCCACGTCTTCGTATAGCCCTCCTAATATTCGGTATTTTGATATAACGGCACCTCCTAATATTCGGTATTTTGATGATTTTAGCGACATTATTCACCGGAATTGTTTCAAATTTGGTACTAGAAGTTCGTAATGGATACTACAGCCTAAGGCAGAAAAGTGTCTGTGCAGGTTCACGTCTTCGTATAGCCCCCATATAACGGCACCTAACAACATTCGGTATTTTAATGATTTTAGCGACATTATTCACCGGAATTGTTTCAAAATTGGTATTAGAAGTTCGTAATGTATACTACAGCCTAAGGCAGAAAAGTGTCTGTGCAGGTTCACGTCTTCGTATAGCCCCCATATAACGGTACTTTCGGATATTCGGTTCTTTGCTGATTTTAGCGACATTATTCACCGGAATTGTTTCATATTTGGTATTAGAATTTCGAAATGGACACTACAGCCTAAGACAGAATATTGTCTGTGCAGGTCCATGTCTTAGTATGGCCCCACCTAATAGTACCTCCCGATATTCGGTATTTTGATTATTTTAGCGACCTTATTCACCGGAATTGTTTCAAATTTGGTATTTGAAGTTCGTAGTGGATACTACAGCCTAAGACAGAAAATAGGCCATGTAGGTCTACGTCTTAGTATGGCCCCCATATCACGATACCTCCCGACATTCGGTATTTTGATGATTTTAGCGACATTTTTTACCGAAATTGTTTCAAATTTCGCATTTGAAGTTCGTAAGGGATACTACAGCCTAAGACAGAAAATTGTCTGTGCAGGTCCACGTCTTGGAATAGCCCCCATATCCCGTACCTCCCTATATTCAGTATTTTGATGATATTGATCATGCAGGTCCATGTCGTCGTATAGCCCTAGTATAACGTCTACATTCGGTATTTTTAAGATTTTAACAACATTTTTACGGATTTTTTTTTTTTTTTTTTTTTTTTTGAAGGTTGTCAAATTCTTTTTATATGGTGGAGGGTAGTAGCTAGCTGGAGGTAGTAGTGGTAGAAGCTACTCAATTTTATTCGAGTGTCATATAAACAGAGAATATACTCGATTTCTCTTTTCTACTCGTAATCGCAGGAGTACTCCTGCTCAAAATCGAGAAGAGAATAAAACTAGCAGGCATTTTTTGAACGGTTCTTAGAAGATATGCATTTTTTAACGTTTGCCATTACTTTTGATTTTTTAGGTTACCATTTGCGGTAAAAATATGGAGAACTTAACCAGAAAAATACCCCAAAATTATTTACCCAGAGAATGTGGTGGCTCCAATGGTTCCCTGGCCGAAGTTATTAAGGATTATGCCATGGTTTTGGAAGCTCAGCGTCAATATTTTGAAGAGAACTCTCAATATGGTACCGATGAGAATTTACGCCAAGGAGTATTGGATTTTGATGGTCTATGGCAAAAATGAGTTGGATGTCAGCAGAAAAATCAAAAATAAAAATGGTATGGGGTTATCAACCCCTTGAAATGTTTATCAGTTGATTAGTCTGAAACAAAAAGGTTACTAACATTGCACAAATGCAAGTCGCTATTTTATATCAGTCAATAATAATAAAAAATATGAAAAGTGAAATTTATTTTTAAATTTATGTGTTTTTGTGTGTGAACATTTCCAACACGTGCGATACGCAACGCAAAAAATAATTTGCAATTCCAACAAGGTGTGATGACAGACAAGGCCAGTTATTTTGATCGAGACATGATATGACGATATAAGGGTCCGCCATTGCAAAAATAGGGTTTTTTAAGAATTGTTTAAAAAAAATGTAGTCATCGTTCCTTTTTAGAAGAGCAAATGCTCTTCTATAGGAAGACCAATTGCTCTTGTATAAGAAACAGTAGATCCCATATACTTGTAAATATATACAGGGTGAGATGAAAAAACTGCAACTAAATTCAGACTTCTGTCATTTCTAAGCCACTTGTCCGACAGCTATTAAAATTATTCCAGTGACAGCTCATTATATTGTATACAAGCGTACAAAAGCTTTTTGGTGAGAATTTTCCAGAAAAAAAGTTATTCGTGATGGAATTCAAGCGCGATAGTGTGATTTCTTTTTATTTGGCTGGAAAACCACAAGTGGCTATTGTTAGAGCACTCCAGAATTTAAATGTGAATAAATCTTTTTTGTCTCATACCATCGCTCGTTACCGTGATAATGGTAGCGTAGCCCGACGTCAAGGAAAGGGACGGAAGAAAACAGCAACATCAGCAGATATGGTTCGAAAAGTAAAGAATCTACTTAATCGAAAACCCTCGATGCAGTGACAGAAAAATGGCCCGTGGGCTAAACATATCGCAATATACCATTCGGTAAATATTGAAAAATGAGATCGGTGTAAAGCCCTTGAAATTCCAAAAAGAGCAAGAACTTACACCGCAACAGAAAGAAAATAGACGCAAAAAAGCTAAATAGTTGCTTTGCTTGGCCGAAAGTGGTGAACTGCCGAATTTGGTTTTCTCCGATAAAAAAAAAAACAATAAATGCCGAATATTATAGCGAAAATAATCTGGAGGGTGTATTAAAGCCTTGGGCACGCATATTCCAACAGGACTCAGCACGCGCCACCCAAGAATGGATACAAAATGAGGTTTCTCGCTTCATTGCCAGCGAACAACGGCCATAAAAATCTCCGGATACCAATCCGTTGGACTATTGTGTCTGGAGTATTTTGGAAAGCAAGGTTGGTACTAAAAAATACCAAAGTGTAGATCACCTCAAGCAAGCGCTTCACCGGAAATGGGCCAAAATACCGCAGAGCAACATTTGGGCAGCGTGTGACGTTTTCATTGACCGTTCGTGACGGTTTAAAAGGCCGTTTAAAGAGTTCGTGCCAAAGGTGACCAATTCGAACAAATCTAAACTTATTCTATTTTTTGCTTTCATTCAATAAAATTTAAAAAAAAATTTAAAAATTATGGCGTTTGATTTTATTGGAGTTTTTTATCTCACCCTGTATAAGACTGATAAGGACTTCTAATAGAAACCCAGTAGAGACTTCTTATAAAAGACCGGTCAAGACTTCTTATAGAAGGCCCGCTAGGACTTCTCATAGGAGGCCAGTAAGAATTTCTTATAGAAGGCCGGTTAGGACTTCTTAAAGAAGGCCGGTAAGGAATTCTTATAGAAGGCCGGTAAGGAATTCTTATAGAAGACCGGTAAGAAATTCTTATAGAAGGCCGGTTAGGAATTCTTAAGGCCTGTTAGAACTTCTTATTGAAGGCCAGTAAGAATTTTTTACAGAAAGCCGGTCAGGACTTCTGATGGAAGGCCCGCTAGAATTTCTCATAGGAGGCCCGCTAGGACTTCTCATACGAGGCCAGTAAGAACTTCTTATAGAAAGCCGGTTAGGACTTCTCATAGGAGGCCATTAAGAATTTCTTATAGAAGGCCGGTAAGGAATTCTTATAGAAGGCCCACTAAGACTTCTTATAGAAGGCCGGTTAGGAATTCTTTAAGCCGGTTAGAACTTCTTATTGAAGGCCAGTATGGACTTCTTATAGAAGGCCGGTTAGCACTTCTTACAGAAGGCTTATAAGGACTTCTTATAATAGGGCGGTCAGGACTTCTTATAGAAGACTGTTGAGGACTTCTTATAAAAGGCCGTTAAGGACTTCTTATAGAAGGCTGGCGAATGCTTCGTCTAGAAGATCGGTAAGGTCTGCTTAAAGAAGGTCGGTAAGGACTGCTTAAAGGAGGCCGGTAGGGGCCTCGTCTATAAATCTAGTAAGAGTTTCGTGTAGAATACTTCGTATAAAAGTTCGATAACGACTTCGACTAGAAGAAGCCCAGTAAGGACTTAACATAGAAGGAATATCTCATTTTCCAATACTGAGACCAATATGGGTTAATTCATCCGACGTATTCAGCTTTGTTGTACTATGCAAATGTATCGTCCAAGCTTCATACATACGTTAGACAAGATACATTTTGTCTCTTTTTTTTCGAACTACGGGTTTGAAAACAAACCAGAATTTGCATAACCAAAACAAATATTTTTAATTATCCTATGTCAAACCAGTCCCAATGCATGTCCGCAATTGATTTAATTCTCGAGAGACACAGTTCTGCTTCAATTGCAAACCGTCATTCGTATTCATTAAAGCCACCGAAGTGAAATGTCGAAAATAAATTTGCAACAGATTGCCATCGAAGAAGTTGGAGAAGTGCCTTCAAAGGTACCTGGCTGTTTGGAGGACCTCAAATGTTGGTTAACGAAGCAGAGCCATTTCCGTTGCCGTTTGGATGATGAATTTCTGTTGCAATTTCTGAGAGGGTGTCGTTACGATGTGGAAAAGGTAAAACGAAAGCTTCAAAATTTCTACACTTTTAAGACACTTTGTCCGGATTATTTTGGCACAGTAAATGTGAATAGGCACAAGTTTCGCCAAATGCATGATATTGGGTAAGTCTGGATATAGGGAACAAGTAAATTCGATATCTAAAAATGTTTTTTCTTTGTCATCAAGCTCTATTTGCATTTTACCCAAACCCTTGAGTGAGGTTGGTCCACGCATTGTGTTCTACAGGTATTTGTATTCACTCGAGTTCATGGAAGAGGCAATTGAAGTTTGTCTGGCCACACTGGAAACCCTGATAGTCAGTGACCCCCATGCCTGTATCTGTGGAGTCGTTTACATTTTCGATATGTCTGACATAACTATGAACCACATTCTTGCGTATACCCCAGATGTCTTGAAAAAGCTAAGCATTTTCTATGAAAAGGTCATACCCTTCCAAACTAAAGGTTTCTATTTTATGAATGTTCCGGAATTTGCCGAGAATTTTTTTAATCTCTACTTGCCATCGCTGAGCGAAGAACTCAGGGAAAGTGTGAGTCACTGAAGATGCAGATTTTAAATTTTTGCTTAACTTTTTTTTTTTTGTTTTCTAGGTTTTTGTTTGTGGTCAGAATATCACCCATATAACTGATAAAATCCCTCTCAAGTATTTACCCAAGGAATATGGAGGTGAAAATGGCTGCCTGCGGGATTTGTTGAAGGAATTCCATACGGTTTGGAACAAACACAGTGAATATTTCCTGGAAAATCACAAATTTGGCATCAAAGCGGATTTAAGGTGTGCAGAATATCCAGTTACTTTTGAAAAGCTAGATGATTATTTTAAATAAAATGGCTGTGTCTAGAATAAGGCCAATAAGGGTGTCTAGAATAAAGCCGTTAAATGTTTCGTCTGGAAGAAGGCCGAAAAGGGCGTCGTCTGGAAGAAGGACGAATGGGACTTTGTCGTATAGAAGGCTGGTAAGGGCTTCATCTGGCTGGTCGGTAAGGATTCGGCTCGAAAGCCGATAAGGGATTCGTCCAAGAAGGCATTGTCTAGAGGATCGGTAAGGCCTTCTGAAAAAAAGGACGAAAAGGGCTTCGTATATAATACCGGTAGATGATTTGTATAGAAGGGGACCGGTATGGACTTCGTCTAGGAGAAAGCCGGTAAGGGCTTCGACTAGAAGAAGTCCGGTAAGGGCTTCGACTAGAAGAAGGCCGGTAAGGGCTTCGACTAGAAGAAGGCCGATAGGGGCTTCGACTAGAAGAAGGCCGATAAGGGCTTCGCCTTTTTTAAAAAGGCGAGAAGATCCTTGAAAATATATTTTTATAAAATTCATATTTGAAATAATATTTTTATAAAATCCACATTCATTGAAGAATCTTGAAAAAGTATTTTTATAAAATCTACATTTATTGGAGACTCTTGAATAAATATTTTAAAAAATCCACGTTTGTTGAGTACTCTTGAAAAAATATTTTTATAAAATCCACATTCATGGAAGACCCTTGAAAAAGATATTTTTATTAAATCCACATATTTTGAAGACCCCTAAAAAATATTTTTATAAAATCCAATTTTTTTTTGAAAAATCTTGACAAAATATTTTTATAAAATCTACTTTTATTGAAGACCCTTGAAAAAACATTTTTATAAAATTTACCTTTATTGAAGACTCTTGAAAAAAATATTTTTATAAAATTCAAATTTATTGAAGACTCCACAAAAAATATTTTTATAAAATCCACATTTTTGAAGACTCTTAAAAAAATATTTTTGTAAAATCCACTTTTATTGAACACCCTTGAAAAAATATTTTTATAAAATCCGCTTTTATTGAATACTCTTGAAAAAATATTTTTATAAAATCCACTTATATGGAAGACCCTTGAAAAAATATTTCTATAAAATCCGCTTTTATTGAAGACTCTTGAAAAAATATTTTTATAAAATCCACTTATATTGAAGACTCTTGAAAAAATTATTTTTTATAAAATCCCCATTTACCGAAGGCTCTTGAAAAAATATTTTTAAAAAATCCACATTTATTGAAGACTCTTGAAAAAATATGTTTATAAAATCCTTTGACTTTTGAAAAAATGTTTTTATAAAATCCAAATTTTTCTGAAAAACCTTGACAAAATATTTTTATAAAATCCACATTTATTGCAGACTCTTGGTCTTCAATAAAGACTCCCAAAAAATATTTTTATAAAATCCACTTTTGAAAAAATCTTTTTTTTAAATCCACATTTA